TGTTTTGTTAGTATTATACACTAACCATGAACACAGGCAGGAGCGTACGTAGAATTTTTTGTAAGCGTTGTCGTATTTAAATAAATAAATAGGTGTTACTACCATTTTTTCATAAGTTGAAAGCGTTGGCCAATGGTTTAATTGAATATTATTGCAAAGGAAAGTGTCGGTCCAATTCTCTTTAGCCTCAAATTTTTAACAAAAATGCTCGCTCAAAGATGTTCAAAAAATAGAATGTCTAGGTCCAGCCTTGAACCTACGACCTTTAAAAGCCCAAATATGAGATTGACCACTAGACTAAGATGTACTCTTTGCTAAGAATAAGCGGTGTCATTATTATATATTGCTTCATTTTAACAGAATATTAGTATAAAAATTTAATATTTTTTCTGGGGAAGCGGTGTCGGATGACACCGCTTCCACCCTTGTGCATCCTCCCCTGAACACAGGGGCGACTCTAAAGGCTTGGCCAGTGAGGCCATTGCCTTAGGCCCCAAAATTTGAATGCCCCAAATTTACTCAATCTCTTATTATTATGACTACTATATACTATAGAATTTATAGAAATAATTATTATAAAAAAAAGTGTTATAGTATATTTTTGTTATTTGATTGAGGTTATTTTATACTTATAAGTTCATAAATTATAATAATTTTCTCACTCATTAATTAGTATATTTGCTTCACTTTTTAATTTTAATTTTATCCTTTTTATATAGTAATTAAAGATATATATTGACAACATAATGAATTTCTTTTAAATCTTCTTTGAAATTGCATGAACACAAAATCATTCATGCACCGATTTCTTTTAGTGTAATTCAACATATTATATTAGGTTATCTACAAATAATTTGAGATATTCACCAATAAGTGCTACTAATTAATAGAATGAACTACAATCACTATTTAGATTGATCAGAAGGAGTAAATATTTTTGACACTGTCAATGCTCAAAACTTAAGCTATTATGTTATGTACGTTTATTTTGTTTTCTTGATTGTGATGATAGCCAAAATTTTCACTTTGAGTTCTGGACCTCAACATCTGATAATCCACCACTTTTGTCACGATTCAAAACCCACTATAGGCCGTGATGGTGCCCAACGTCGCCGTTAGGCAAGCCAATGCTGAACTACCAACTTAATTGTTCATTTTATTATTTTGAAATCATGAATCCGATTAGATAGAGAGATTGATGCATCAAAATCGTACATACGTATGATTTAAGTAAAATATAAAGTAGAAGTATCTCAATAGTAAGCAAAATCATAAACAAATTTTAGAACACTTCGAAATTTGGCGATACAAGCGCATGAGCATTTACTAAGGAGTACAATAATAATACAACATCTGTCTGGAATATAAATAAGACAGGATAAAGTAAATAGTACGGTGGAGACTCTGTGGGCTGCGATACGTATTCTGGAATGCAGCTGGTCATAAAGTCTCCTCAACAGTTGCGCCTACGCGTCAAGATGACCACCAATTGAACATGTCAGATCCTGCACGTTTAGTGCAGAAGTGTAGCATGAGTACGTAAATCAACGCGTATCTATTAAGTATCTAGCCTAACCCCGGAGAAGTAGTGACGAGGGGTCGACATCGACACTTACTAGAGGTCTAATAAAGCAATATGATAAATCATAAGCAGATATAAAGCACAACAGCAATAATGGTGTAAAACTGTAAGTTACATAATTTTCCAAAAATTTCTTTTAAAGATATAAATTTCTCAGTCTCGTGGTTTATCCCAACAACTCAGATATATTAAGTGTCAGAAACCAACGGATAAGGAACACCATAATAAATGTCGGGCATCAGTGGGAGGAAAATCTCGTGAATATTTGGACTGCTAGCAATATAACGCACGATTATGTCGAGGTCGTACAACCCGATCCAAAATAATTTGTACACTGTCGAGGGTCGAGCGGCACGAACCATAGATGCATCTACTACACTACCGAGGCATTCGGCCCGCTCCACAAGAAATGAAGGAAATCATCAAATTACGAGACACGTGCTTACAATATAGTACATGAGCACAAAATGAATATAACATTTACCGTTTCTCAAATTACCTGCCAACAACTCAAGGTGATAAGGCTCGGCATATATATATATATATATATATATATATATATATATATATATATATATATATATATATATATATATATATATATATATACAATTCCTAAATCAATTTCAATTATAAATTCAATTAATTAAGCCAGCAGAGTGAGTTCAAATAATTCAAATATTACATGACAAAGTCCTAAGTCTACCCGAACATAAACATGTTGTAGCTACGTACGGACTCTCGTCACTTCGTGCATACGTAGCACCCACAACTAGTAGCACATAACAATTACATCGCCTAGGGGGTAGTTTCCTTCTCACAAGGTTAGACAGGAGATTTACCTCGTTTCGAAGTTCCATAACCGGCTCCAACGCCTCTCTAACACCTCAACTCAAAGCCAAACGTTCCAAAACTAGTCAAACAACGTGCAAATCAATCATAATATACTCCAATGCTTACAATTTATCAATTTATAATGATTTCCAACTCCACTCGAAAAGTCAATAAAGTCAACCCTCGGGCCGTTGGGCCCACGTGTCCGAATTTCAAAAATTATCGAAAATAATTATTACCTATAACTTTTATAGTTTATATTCCAAAAATCATCCATTTTCGCCTATGAACTGACCCTCAAATCAAGGATTTACCATCTCATAACTTTGAGGCTTAGAACCCCAATTACTACAATCCAAACACGGATAAAAATGATAACCAACAAAAATAATCATGGAAACACATCAAAATAAAGGTCAGATATTTACCCCCTTGTTGAGACGAGAATAACGCCACAAAAATCACCTCAAATGGAGCTCTAGAACTCAAGATATACTCAAAATACTAAAATGCTTGGTCCCCATTTAAAATATTGTCCAGGCGATTTTTGTTCTTCGCCTGCGCGGGACAACTTTGTGTTCGCGTTTACCGGTCAACCCAAATTTCCTTCTTCGCGTTCGCGAAGAACAAAGTCCGCACCAGAAACCAACATTCTTTCCGACACGGAAATGCGTATAACTCTCTCATACGACCTCGGAATTCGATGATTCTTGTTGCTATGGTTATGTAATTACAATATGGATCTTATGGTTCAATCCAATCACAAATCAAAGGTCATTTTCTCAATATGGTACCCTTTATAGAAATAACGTTGAAATATCAAATAAGAGCGCGATACAACCCAAACACATCTGAAATACACTCGAGGCCCTCGGGACCCCGTCCGATTACACAAACCAGTCCCACCCAGAACATAACACGAACCTACTCGAGGCCTCAAATCACACCAAACAACATCAAAATCATGAATCAACGATTAAATCCTCCTTTTAACTTTCAAACATTCAAACTTCGACGAACGCGTCTGAATTACACTTAAGAATTCCGAAATGACGCCGAACTTTACATACAAGTCATAAATCATGATAGAACATATTCCAAGGCTCAGACGGACATCGATAACACCAAAGCCCACTTCAAACCAAACTTAGAAAATTCTAAAACCTTCGAATTGCCAACTTCCGCAATAAGTGACGAAATGCTCCCGGACCACCCGATACTCAACCCGAACATACACCCAAGTCCGGAATCATCATACGAACCTATTGGAACCTTCAAATCTCGATTCCGAGGTCGTTTGCTCAAAAGTCAAACCTTAGTCAACTCTTCCAACTTAAAGCTTCCGAATTGAGAATTTCCATCTGAATCAACTACGAACTTCCCGTAATTGAATTCTGACTACGCATACAAGTCGTATTACATGAATTGAAGCTACCCAGGCCTTAAATCGCTGAACAACCGCTAGAGCTCAAAACGGCCGATCGGATCGTTACAACTTTATTCTTTGTGCTCTTCTTCCCCTTTTTTTTGTTTTGAAATTCGCTTTTTTTTTGTCTTAAATGATTAATTTGTTGTTGAGAAAGGAAATTTTGTTGTTAATATAAAAATTTTATAAAATAAATTTAAAGGTCTCTCAATATGATTTCGCCTTAGGCCACAAGATCTGTTGAGCCGCCCCTACGTGAACATTTAGTTAATTATAGATTATGCAGATAAAAAAATTGGAAAACTTACACAAATGTCCCAAATAAGTCTCAACTTACCAACCTCTAGCCATTAGTCATAGACTTATCAAAACTAGCCAAGCACGTATAAAAATTAAAAAACTAAATAAATAAGGTTCTTTCTCTCAAAGAATCACATGCAAAAATCACCTTTCAGATTTTTAAGCGTGATTAGCAACATTAGATGCAAGACAGAAAGGAAATTTCGTGGATGAGGTAGCAAATAAGGTGATGAAATACAAAAAAAAATACAATATTCCAAAAATCTAAGCAAAAAAGGAACTTTTTCATTGGGTATAATTGAAATTCATTGAAAACATATAGATAAGTCAATATATAAAATTTGAGGAAGATTGGAGGTGATTTGGACTAGTTTTGTATCAAAATTCGTAATTAAATCGTGTTTAATAAAATTTTCTGCGACGCATGTATCACGCACGTATCTCACACACAGGTATACATGGATATACATGTGATACACAATTGATACAAATATGATACATATGTGATACAGAAATGATACACAGTGCCATACACATATCATTTTTTTCGTGTTCAGTTTTTACTTAGAATTTTCAATTCAAATCACCTCAAAACTTTATCGAATCATCCCAAAATTGAGATTCAAACTCCTTAAGATGTACCCAATCTATTCTAATAACACTCACTCAAAAGAAAGCCACAAATAGCTAATTGGCTAATATTAGTAATTTTTTATGAAATGATCAATTTTTATAATGAGCTACTTATAAATGGACGTATTAGTTTTCCAAAAAAAATTGAATGAACATGAAAATATTTCTTTGCTGCTAATTCTATAGTATATTTTTCCTTTTGCCCCGTTAAATATATATTAGTCAAAGCTTTAAATTTCGTGCACCCATAGTTTCAAGATCTGACTATCCGAGAACATTCTCAGAAAGCAAAACGAAGATAGTATAAAAGGAGGGCAGGGGGTAGCGTAGTGGTGCCGCGGCCGGAATTCCAATGTCGAACAACAACAACCAGCCGCCGCCGTACCAACCGTACCGACAGAAAAAAGTTCTGACGGGCCACACACTCGCCGTCTCTTGCGTGAAGTTCTCCAACAACGGCCAGCTCTTCGCCTCCGCCTCCTTGGACAAAACCCTAATCGTCTGGTCCACACAAACCCTAAACCAGCTCTCTCGTCTCGTCGGCCACTCCGAAGGCGTTTCCGACCTAGCATGGTCATCTGATTCCAGTTATATTTGCTCCGCCTCCGACGACCGCACACTCCGTATTTGGGATGCACGCGCCGCCGAGTGCGTCAAAACTTTACGTGGACACACCGGCTTCGTCTTCTGCGTTAATTTCAACCCACAGTCGAATCTCATAGTTTCGGGTTCGTTTGATGAGACTATTCGGGTCTGGGATGTGAAAACGGGCAAGTCCAATCACGTGATTCGGGCTCATTCGATGCCGGTTACGTCGGTCCATTTTAACAGGGATGGCTCGTTGATTGTTTCGGGGAGTCATGATGGGTCATGTAAGATTTGGGATACGGCTTCTGGGGTGTGCCTTAAGACTCTTATTGATGATAAAGTTCCAGCTGTTTCCTTCACCAAGTTCTCCCCTAACGGCAAGTTTATTCTTGTTGCCACCCTTGAGGATAATCTTGTAAGTTTCAAGCATTATTTCCAAGTTCTTTTTACTCCCTCCGTCCTTCTTTCCTTTCTTTTTTAGTCGGTATGAATGATTTCTAGCCACACAGTTTTCTATGATTTGTTTTACCACAAGTTTCAAACATCTTCCTTTATTTCTTAAACTCTGTACCCATTCAAACACCTTCACATTAATTGGGACAGAGGGAGTACTGATTTCGAGTGTGTTTATGATTTACCTTTAAGGAATTCTGCTTTCAGTTAAATAGAGAGATTAGCATATAAATAGAGAGGTTAGCAGGTAATACTATCTAGGTTGTGAGCTGATAAAGTTGGCGTCTTTGTTCATTTGACTTGGTTTCTGGGGCTCAACGAAAATGTTTTCTGTGATGTTATTGATAGGAAGTTGAACAACAGGTCGAAGAATTTCTACCAATTAGTTGGAATAAGGCTTAGTTGTTTCTATAAGTAGCCTAGTTGCTAGTGTTAACACTTACATCAAGTTTGAATAAGGATAAGTGTGAGATCTAGAGAACCTTAGATAACCTCTAATGCCTTAAAGACAAATACAAATTATTTACAAGTTTTGCAATCAACTGGGTTCGGATAAAGTGAAATAGCTATAGAGCATTCATATAGCTGGTCTTAACTAGTTTGGGATTGAGGCGTTGTTGCTAGTGTGGTAGTATTGAGTATTGACAACAACTAAACCTTTTGGAGCACCATTTCGTGATACAATTTCCTTTTAAGCACAGACAATTCGACTTGATTCAATTATGTAAACTTCCCCTGCATGTCTGACTTGTAACTTGGGCTTTCTTTTTTATTGTCCCCGAGTACAGAAGCTATGGAACTATTCTACTGGGAAATTCTTAAAGGTTTATGCAGGCCATGTGAACAGAGTGTACTGCATAACTTCAACGTTTTCAGTCACGAATGGGAAGTATATTGTAAGCGGCTCAGAGGACCGATGTGTCTATATATGGGATTTGCAAGGGAAAAATTTGCTGCAGAAACTTGAAGGACATACTGATACTGTCATTTCGGTAACTTGCCATCCCACAGAAAACATGATTGTCTCAGCTGGATTAGATAATGACAGGACACTGAGGGTTTGGGTACAAGACTAATGAATGTCCTCGACTGTGTATAGGTTAGCTTCTTCTATCCTACAAATATACAAATCGTTTCACGTATGATTGATATTGACTTTGCATCAGAATCTTCATTAACATATGATTTTCTTAGTAACAAGAAACAACTTCCATTTTTTATTCTTCTGGTGCTTAAATCATTCCATTTTTGTAACTTTTCGCGTATTAACTTTGGCTTTTCCCAACATTGAGTGCAGCCTTTACCTCGTAGATTTAGTTGAATGGTAATGGAAAAAATCAATCCATTCGGTTATTCTTCTTTCTGTGTAAGCATAACAATTTTACAGTAGCCAAAAGATGGATTATCTGTATGTCAATTCTATAGTTTCATTTCTCTTGAAGGTATATCATTCATGATTTTTCCAGCTGTTTCATATGATGTACTTGACTTGTAGGTTTTGTCCAAGGACATTCGCTTGTATTAGCTACTTTGCATAACCTGGTTGTTTTAGAGGGACGTAACAGATGGCAGTGTTACCATGGCAGTGAGTCTTGTGTGTATGAATGGTCCAGTTATCTCATACTCTGGAAGTTGATGCCAGACAATTTTACTTTAATCAAAAACTTGCTATTGTATTTTCTTCTTTATATGTGAGAAAGTAGATGGTGCCAGTCCTCCAGAATTTTGAGGGAGAAGCATTCATGTCGAGAGGTTAAAATATATGAATAAACGAATGATCTTGTTTCATTCATATGAGGACTCCTACAGGGTCTGATAAGTGATTACATTTACAGCAAGGGCAAAAAGTTAGGTTATTATAATGAACATTGATCTCCTCATTGTGTCATGTGACTCACAGTTAAGAAATGCAAATATTGCAAGATGAATCAACGCCCATATTGCTCCTCAGTTGTGTCCCTTGCATTACTGGCCTTTTCTCGCTCCATATGTATCTTCTAGACCGTTTGTCACCCTCTTTCTTCTATCCGCAATCATCTCTGAGTATGACTGCAGAAAAATAACGCTCTTGGTTAGGTCTATAGCAAATGTGTTTACTGCAATTAAAAACTAAATGACACCTCCAGTTTATCCAATTAAGAAACCAAAGTGATCTTACAATCCCAACATGCAAAAGTAAACCATTCAAACGTTTCATGGATAGCGCTGAGACTGATCCACAGCAATCTGTTCAAATAAACCCAATTCGCCGTCAAATGCTAAACACGACAGAATTATTAACATATAGATCAAAGCAACAATGGATGTAACATGTGCGTGCATTGCCACAAACGATCTTCCACCTGCTCCATCCAACAGAAAAAACTTATGCAAAATCCTCAGATAGGCAACTTGTGCAAAATCCTTCAGGTAGGTGTTGAGAAATGTGAAGGAACCAAACATGATATCATATCTTAGTCCACAAGAAGAGAGGAGCAATATTAGGGTGTGTGGCTCACTGTATCATTAAAATTGCTTGTGCAATTGGGAGATACAGAGATGATTTCACAAAATATTATAGAGATGACTGCACTAAATAACCCTTGTTCTCAGTAGCTTCCAAGTATAGGGCGCCGATTAGAGCAAAAGCATCTACTATGAATTTTGCAAATTTAGCTGTATTTTATGCAGATTTTATCACAAAGATATTGGTCATAGCAATATCGAGTTAGTCAAAACCAGTGGAGTAATAGATAAAAAGAAAAACAGATTTACCTTGGGGTAAGAATAAAGAAAGATGTACCACCATGCCCCAATTATAGCCATCACCACTGCAGTGGCTACAGCCGAGTGTAAAATCAGCCAGCTCAAGCTAATTATCACCGCTCCGGTGAGAGTTATTGTCCAAGGTTGACACCTACCATGAAAAGAGTATTCAAATTTTGCAGAGAGCATACAGAGAAATCTAATCATTAAACATGTGAAAGTGCAGATATAGAGGAGAAAACTAAAGGTGGAATATAAATTCTAATCCTTGTGGTAACAAACAGCAAAAGGCTCCATGTTCAATTGCATTGTTGTCAAAGGCTCAATTAAGGTTTGCTTCTTCATTAAAGTTAAAAGTTTGACAGAGAAACTTTATTTGAGTCGCACATTCCAAAAATTGCAAGTTAAAAATCACGAAGAAATGGCGAAACAACGAATTAGACAAAGGTAAATGTAATTGTGAAAAATTACCAGGAAGGCTTGGTGTCCCAGACAGAATCATACTCTAGGGAAAGATAATTGAGATAGCTGTCCATATCCTCAACGACGCCGTTTTCGTCGAAGAACGCTGAGTCCTCTTTTGGGTCATTAGAATTGATTCCACGAAGTGAAGTACTTGTCCTTGAACGTTTAGAAAATTTATGAGAGGAAATGGCAATTGACTGAAGTTTTGAGGAGAACTTAGAATCGGAAAGCTGGGAACGAGCAAAGCAGTGAACCGGCGGTGCAGGTGAAAGCAGCGGCAGAAGAATGGAGGAGGAGAGAATTTGAGCTACTGTCATCCTTTTGTTTCCTCAGCTCTATCCAGTTCCGACAAAAAATCATCTCTTTTTCTATTTGGGCTCGCCCGAATTGTACCCGCTGCGGTGCTTCCAATTTATTTGGTATGTTCTTTCTTTTTATCACATTTAATCATTTGGTATTTTAATTTACGCGTTTTGCGTGTGTAGCTAAGTCGGTGAGTAGATGACTTTTTAGAAAATTGTATAAGTACTATTAAATATAGGGAAATTTTCGTTCCTATACCATATAGGAAACTATATTACCAAATATGTTCATAATTTGCATATTACCCTTCATGCTAATAGTATTCCTACAAAATATAGACAATGCATTAAATAAGGAATCATTGTAGCTGTAGGATTCCTTATTTAGGCGCGCTGAAATTGGGGAATTAAATATTCTTCAAGATCTTCCACAAACGCAGATCACGCACATTCCATAATTATCGTTGGCTTCACTCTGAACTTCCACAGCGCAGAACAAGATTTTCCATACTCTATTTTTGCTATACACTCTGTTTCCAGAATTCTCTATACATCTCTCTCTATCTCTCAATCCCAAATTTCAGTAATACAAAGCAAATGAAAAGAGAACAGCAATTTCACCATTAAAAAGCTTGAAAGCTTTGAATTCAAATTTGGATTTTCAAAAATCATTATTTGTTTGGATTGGGTGTTGTTGAAAATAATCGGGAATATGTTTTGAGTTTATATCTCAATTTTGAGGGGTTTTGGTGAAGATTAGACTTGGTCTTGACTGAATTTCAGATTGAAACTTGAAGAAGAAAAAGAAGACATGACATACATTATATTGCAGAAATTGTAGAAAAATTGTAGATAAATTGTAGAAAAATTGTAGACTGTTGTTTATTTATTTTTCTTTTATTCATTTACCTATTGTATGAAAGTTGAACAACATTGTATAAAAATTGTATTAAAGTGGATGATTTAGTACTGTTTTGGACAAAAATATGTATAAAAAATGTGAAACATACATTTCAGGGGAAGCATGTCGAGTCCAAATATGTACCTAGTTTGTAGATATTTTGTAGATAAATTGTAGATTATTTGTATTCTGATTGTAGATGCTTTATTTTCTGTTTTCAAAAATAAAAAACGACTAAAACTTCTACAAATCTTCTAAAAAAACGCAATTATGTCAAAATTCCCAATTATGCTACAATTGAATGGGAATTGGGATATTAAAATTCAATGTACCCAGTTTGTAGATATTTTGTAGATAAATTGTAGATTATTTGTATTCTGATTGTAGATGCTTTGTTTTTTGTTTTCACAAATCAAAAACGACTAAAACATCTACAAATCTTCTGTAAAAAACGCAATTATGTCGAAAATCTCAATTATGCTACAATTGAATGGGAATCGCGATATTAAAATTCAATGTACCCAGTTTGTAGATATTTTATCGATAAATTGTAGATTATTTGTATTCTGATTGTAGATGCTTTGTTTTCTGTTTTCACAAATAAAAAACGACTAAAACTTCTACAAATCTTCTGTAAAAAACGCAATTATGTCGAAAATCCGGATTATGCTACAATTCTGTGATTCCCCTATATGCTCTTGTTACTCCTTACGAAACTGCTATGCAAAATATGGAATCCAAAAAAACATGATGAAGGGATAGATCTTCCTAAGAAATTTTGTAGATAATTTGTAGAAACATTGAAATTCTGTATTTTTATATTAATTTTTCAAATGATATGTAATTTTGTTATAGATTAAATGTAGAAAACAAGCCATTGTGAGTCTTATTTGACTCATTCGTCACATTCAACATATTCTACAAATTCACGCCTCTTTAAATACAATACAACCATACTTTGTGACGATCCAAAGGGTCATCACTTGTTTCCTTACTCATTACGTGCTTCCGAGGCCTTGAAAACCTCATTTAGGGTTGCCTCGATTTGCGTGCGCAGTCTGGGCGCGTAGCCGGAAAGCCTAAATATGAATTCTGTGAGAAAAATACTAAATTTTGATATTAAATTGAATAAATTTGACTTCGGTCAACATTTTCGGTAAACGGACCCGGACCCGTAATTTGACGGTCTCGGAGGGTCCGTAGGATAATATGGGACTTGGGCGTATGCCCGGAATCGATTCCGAGGTCCCAAGCCCGAGAAATAAATTTTTGTGTGAAAATTGTTTTTTCTGGAATTAATTAAGGAAATTGGAAATAAAATTTGATTAGAAAACTATGGTATCGGGCCCGTATTTTGGTTCCGGCACCCGGTACAAGTCTTATATATGATTTAAGCACTTTCTGTAAAGTTTGGCTTAAAACGGACGTCGTTTGACGCGTTCCGGACTTGAAATGGATAATTTGATGTTTTATGAAATTTGGAAGAAATCATGGGTTTTGAGGCCTAATTTGATGTTCATGATGTTATTTTGGCGATTTGATCGCACGGATAAGTCCGTAGGATGGTTTTGAGGTGGTGTGTATGTTTGGCTTGGAACCCCGAGGGCTCGGCTGAGTTTTGAGTGGGTTTCGGGATGCCTTAGACTTAAAAATATCAGTTGTTGCAGGTTCAGGAAATATTGCAGGCCTCTGAATCCTCTAGCGCGGTCCGCGAGAAATCGCGTGCGGCCGCGGAGGGGCCAGCGCGGCCGCGGTCGCCTTTGCGCGGTCCGCGGTGGGTAATCTTCGGCCGTGGTTGCCTTTGCGCGGTCCGCGCAGGGCTAAGATCCGCAGGTCTTCAGGTAAGCCAGGCCAGCGCGGCCGCGGTCCCTTTTGTGCGGTCCGCGCTGGGACTTCAGAGGGGTATATATAGACGGGAATTTCAGTTATTTTTCACTTTTCAAAAATCCAAAATATAATAGGCGATTTTCCAAACAATTCTTCTTCTTCAAAACGATTGGTAAGTGATTTCTAACTCATTTTCTTCACTCCTTAACATCTTTTAACATAATTTCGACTTCAAAACAAAGATTTTAATGGGGAAATTTGGGAATTTTGGGTTGAACCTAGGTTTTTTTCTAAAATTGGGGATTTGGACCTCAATTTGAGGTCCGATTTCAAAATAATTTATATAATTGAGTTTGTGGGGGAATGGGTAATCGGGTTTTGGTTCGAACCTCGGGTTTTGACCATGTGGGCCCGGGGGCATTTTTGACCTTTTTGGGTAAAACTTGGGAAAACTTATTTTCATGCATTGGGGATGATTCATTTAGCATTATTAATGTAATTAAGTAAATTGTGACTAGATTCGGGCGGATTGGTAGAGAAATCAAGGGGTAA